TTTATTAGAAAATGTTTTAGGGAAAATTACGTTCGCTCCATTATATATTTTTTGGGCAAGTAATAGGGAAGAAGGCTAATTTTCATTAATAGTAAAAAAAAAAATACAACTCATAAAGTTTTTTATCGTTATTACGTGATGGTCCAAAAATATGTGATATTTATGTGGAGGTCTTTGTGCCCTTGATTTTTTTTTTTTCTTCAAGTTTGCTTCTAGTCCGATGTTAAACTCTCAAAAAATGAGGTTTAAATGCGATCTGTTGTTAGAAACAGTGGAATGGGGGTTAATTTGTCTAATTTTTTTCAAAGGGACCCATTCTTTCGAGTATTAACAACCTATTTTGGGGCCTTTACGATACAACAGTTTAACAAACCGATACAGACATAAATTTTTCATATTTTTAATATTAAAACAATTCAGCAATTAATATTCCATAACATGTGCATAGCACGTGCATATTATTATTACTTAATTAAGAGAGATGATGTTCTTAATCCAGCTGAGGGAGTCCATGAAACCCTTCACGGACTAGAGCGCTAGAGTTCATTCCCATTTGACAGTTGATCTTTAAGGGGCCGTTTGGATACCTGAAAATATATTGTATGTGAAATATATTATTGGCGTAATACATTACTGTATAATGCATTACCTGCAAATGGATTGTCACTGCTTGAGTAGTATTTAGATGCAATCTAGGAAATACATTGTTACTGCTTGGCTATGTCCAGAACAAATATGGGAAATGCATTACCAACATTTTTTTTTTCTTTTTGGCTTTATACCCAAAACATGGTTGAGCGTACAATCCCTATTAGTATGTAGCTTAAACTTTATAATTGCTTCAGGCATAAGAAATAACCACACCTTTTGTGTGTATTTACGTATGGACTTGGAATCACATTTCAAGATGTTAACGCTTTGGAATAACATACTTTTATTATGATAAGCCATCACGTTTTTTATGTTTTCTTTTCTTGTGCGAAAACCTTTCTATCATCTTTCTCTAGAAAACTTCCATGGGAAAATTCAAAAGAACAAAAAAAAAGTTTGAAGAAATTTGGCTAACCTAGACGGCTTTATGACTAAATGAGATGTATTGAAGGAGGAATTATGTTGGGGCATTAAAGGAGATTGAAGACGTAAATTAATTTTTTAAAAAAATTCAAACACACTGATTTGACTATTCTAAGTGAGTAAATTCAAGTATTTCGAATTTATCAACAAACAATAGCAGTAAAAAAAAAGAAAAATCCAAAAAAATAAATAGACTGATCTTAGCACAGAACCCAAATCGGTTTATTTTTTGGAACAATAGCGTTGCATAATCCAAAAAATAAATCTTTGGATTTCTGGAAATAAACAATAGCTATAATTGTGTTGCAGAATAAATAAATAATAGCTACAATTGTGGTGGCAGAAGATGGGGCTGGGGCTGCTAGGTTTTTAGCTGCTAGTTGAATAACATACTTTTATTATGATAAGCCATTACATTTTTTATGTTTTCTTTTCTTGTGCGAAAGCCTTTCTATCATCTCTCTCTAGAAAACTTCCATGGGCAAATTCAAACGAAAAAAAAAAAAGTTTGGAAAAATTTGGCTGACCTAGAAGGCTTTATGACTAAATGAGATGTATTGACGGAGGAATTATGTTGGGGCATTGAAGGAGATTGAAGACGTAAATTAATTTTTTTAAAAAATTCAAACACACTGATTTGACTATTCTAAGTGAGTAAATTCAAGTATTTCGAATTTATCAACAAACAATAGCAGTAAAAAAAAAGAAAAATCCAAAAAAATAAATAGACTGATCTCAGCACATAACCCAAATCGGTTTATTTTTTGGAACATTAGCGTTGCATAATCCAAAACATAAATCTTTGGATTTCTGGAAATAAACAATAGCTATAATTGTGTTGCAGAATAAATAAACAATAGCTACAATTGTGGTGGCAGAAGATGGGGCTGGGGCTGCTAGTTGAAAAAGATGGTGATGCTATGTGATTTTTTGGGTTTTGTAGTGGTAGAAGATGGGGCTGGGGCCGTTGGGTTTTAGCTGATAGTTGAAGAAGATGGTGATGTTATGTGATTTTTGGGTTTTAGCTGCGAGTTGCAGAAGATGGGGCTGGGGTGGTCGGGTTTTAGCTACTAGTTGAAGGAGATGGAAGAAGATGGTGATGTTATGCGATTTTTTGGGTTTTAGCTGCGAGTTGCAGAAAATGGGGCTGGGGAGCTGAATAAGATGGTGATGCTGTGTGATTTTGCTGTGTGATTTTTGAGGTAGAGCTATTGGTTGCAGAAGATACGGCGACCGTATTTTAGATTTTTGAGGTAAGGGAGCTATTGGTTACAAAAGATAGGGCTGTTGAAGAATTTTTGTAATTGTGGTTTAGGGGGTGAACGTTTTTTTTCTTGTGGTTTATTAGGAGGTGAATCACGATTTTAGCTGTTAGTTGAAGAAGATGGGCTGGTGTGTGATTTTTTCTGGTGCGAGTTGAAGAAGATGGAGCTGGTATGTGATTTTTGAGGTAAGGGAGGACCTATTGGTTGCAGAAGGGCTACTGATTTTTAACTGCTTTTTAGCTCGTACTTGAATTAATTTTTTTTTTTTGGTTTATTAAGAGGTGAACCACACGATATTTGGGTAGCTAAAATAGAAAAACACCTTAAAGATTTACCTGATTACCATCAAGGACCTAACAGATTTTTCACCTTTCAATGTACCTAATAGATTTCCTAATTTTTGGAGAAATCTAGGTTAGTCTTTTTCCAATTCGTAAACCCGGCAAAAAAAACAAACGAAAAAAATTAAAGAAAAAACAAAAAATAGAGTGGGCCTCATAGGGTCGGCATTGGCCCTAGCCCAGCCCTTGGCCACAATTTTTGGCACATTCCCTACTTTTTAGTGGCTGGGCCAACCGGTCCGGACCTGGCTTGGCTGTCCAAGCCATTCCAAATATAACGTGCGGTCGTTACATTTTCTAGGCTCTGTGATAATTAGCTTAGGCTTAATTGGTTAGCACTTGATGATTTGCATCGCTGTCTTGGGCTTAATTCTTGTGAAGGGTAGGGGTTCAATTCCTAAGGAGGGTAGGGGGCCAACCGGTCTGGGCTGGCTTGGCTGCCCAAGCCATTCCAAATATAACATGCGGTTGTTGCATTTTCTAGGCATTGTGATAATTAGCTTGGGCTTAATTGGTCAGCGCTTGATGATTTGGATCGCTGTCTTGGGCTCAATTCCTGTGAAGGGTAGGGGTTCAATTCTTGAGGAGGGTAGGGGCCTCCCCTCCCCCACCCAATGGAAGCCTACAAAAAAAAAAAAAATTTTTTTTTTGGAAAATTATCGCTAGTATACCTTAATTTTAAGAAAATCGCAAAAAAACCTCAACTTCCCAAAACATCGCCCACACTTTTTTTTTTTTCTTCTAATTTTTGAGATTTTTTAGACGAAAATATCATTTACAGTAGTCTTTCTATCGTAATACATTTTGAATATATTACGGTAAAAAGACTATCGTAATAGTGTAACTTTACGGCATTCTTAGTACCGTAATGCTCTGAAAAGCTTCAAATGGAAGCTAATATCAAGGCTACCCCTCTCTTCCCGTACTATGCGAAAGTACGATAATTAATGGTTGGAAATTGAGTACTTTGGATTCGGTTTATGGTCTCGGAGTGATTGAGGTAACAATGGCGTTGGTTTTGCTGTAATTCAGTTGCTTTTCTGATTTTTAGGTTTTTAAAAGATGTATGCAGTCGGGCGGTTGGAAGTTATACTTCAAGTGGAGTTGACATAGTCGCAGTCCCTTTCCATCTATTTGACGGTGTTGTAGATGTCATCGTTGTTGAAAACAAGATGGGAGTTTCAAGACCTCACCTTGGTATATGAAGTTTGGGAAGTTTCAAGGAAGTTGTTGAAAACAAGATGGGAGTTTCAAGACCTCATTTTGTTATGTGAAGTTTGGCGAGTTTCAAGGAGAGTGAAGGAGTGGAACTGTTCTACCGAGAAGAAGATTTTAACCACTAATGACGGATTCAAAAAAAGCGTTCTATATTCCGGTAGTTGCTTATCAATCTAAATTTATTGAAAACTTTGAAATGAATGATGGAACTACATATCTTTCTAACCACGAAGAAATTCTTGGGCTCTTGGTGTTGGAGAGTTGCGATTCATTGGAAATTGAGAAACCTTTCAGACAAAAGCAATCGAGCTTTAAGAAGATTCAGAAAGAGGGGTCTCTGATCACGAAGTGGTTTCTCAATCAAAAGTAATCGAGAGTTGTGAATTAAGGGGTGCATTCTCTCATATTTCTACTCATTAAGAACTTTCGGAGTTGTTGGTTTTGAAGGGTTATGGTAATTTAATTACCGTAATACATAATTAAAGTATTACTGTATTAAAAATGGCTTCTCAATCAAAAGTAATCAAGCGTTGTGAATTAAGGGGTGCAGACTCTCATATTTCTACTCAAAGAACTTTCGGAGTTGTTGGTTTTGGAGAGTTACAGTAATTTAATTACTGTAATACATAATTAAAGTATTACGGTGTTAAAAATACCGTAAATAATATATTTATGATTTACGATAATTAAAGTACCGTAATGTTTTTTATGGTATTTAAATTATGGTAATGTTTATTATGGTACTTCGAGTACTATAATGTATCTTCATATTATTACGGTAGTCTGAATGTATTGCGATAAAAAGAGTACCATGAAAGGTATTTTCATCAAAAAAATCTCAAAATTTGAGAAGAAGGGTGTGGATTATGTATTGAGAAGTTGCGAGTCTTTTACAATTTTTTTAAAATTAATGTATATTAGCGATTAAATTTTTTTTTTTTCTCCTTTCTTTTTTCTTTTTTTCTTTCATTTTCATTTTCTTTTTTCATTTTCATTTTCTTTATCTTTTTCCTTTTTTTTTTCTTTTTTTTAAAAAATAAAAAAATAAAAGGAGAAGAAAAAAGAAGAAGCGGACGAATCATTAGCATTTTTTAAATTAGACAAACTTTTCTTAGGAGGAAATAAAATAAACACGTGGGTTGGCTCGTTGGTTGCATAACAGTGATCTCCCACTCTCCGAGTGCAACGTTTGAGCGTCCAAGAAATCCTCAAAAGTTTCGTTATTATTATATTATTTTAAGTTTCGATTCACGGCATTTCTAATCGCTAGATTATCTACTTCTATGTGATTTAGTGCTTTAAATGTTAGCCACTTTTTTTTGGAAGTTATTTTGATAAAAGAATGGCATGGTATCCATCAACGAGCTCGTCTACTGGGGTATAGGATTTAAATCCAAAGAAATCGAGGTATCATTTGAGCTTGTTTTATCTTATATTGCGTTTAGGAGTTTATTCTTGCTTTCGATAAATTACTGTGATGGAATATTTTTTTTTGTTTTTGTTTTTGTAAATAGAGATATTGTGCATTAATTTGCCTTGAAAATTAATGAAAAACCACGGTTTAGATTTTTTTTTTCTTTCTTTTCTTTGTGAATTAGGGCATCAGAGTCGTCAAAACACACGCACACACACTGCACTGATTAGGGAAAATGAATGATCTGCTGTGTGTATGCTTTTGTAAGGTTTTCAGAAATCTTGTATAGTGGAAAGTATAAAAGTCAAATGCTTTTTCTTCTTCTTTTATTTATTTAATTTTTTTTTTTTGTGTCATGAGAAAGTAGAGTAAGATGGGTCCTTTACCAGTAAGTATTTGTGCAAAGCCCGTGATGGATATAGATGAAAAAACCTGCATCTTGTTGATAATTTTTTTGGCAGAACTTGGTTTTGAAATTTTGTATCCATGTCAAATTTGGAAGAATTTCATCCAAATTTCATATCTCAGTTAGTTTTTATCATCATTGGAGACAGAAAATATATAGAATCATTGGAGAACAGAAAATATATAGAATCAACAATCATTGGAGAACAGAAAATATATAGAATCGACTTAGGGGCAGAGTGGTAAATTTAATGAATTTCTTTTTGATTGGAGGTTGGTAAATGGATCAAATTCATTGTATTTTAGAAATAAAATTGTCGTGGGCAATATAATTTGTAAATGGCTCACACCCAATTATTATTTTTATTGGTAACTGTGGTCCATACCCATTTGTCAGCCATTTTAATGTGTTTTTCTGTGCACCTCAACCATTCTAATGTGTTAGATGGATGGAATTGAGTGAAACTTGTGAAGAAGAATTGAACTGAAAATTCGCAAAATTTTGAACATATTTTGATAGTTTCCAAGAATGACTGATGTTTGGCTTTTTTCCTCTATTTTCGGACTTATCAGTCCCTTGGTCTCTGGCATGAAAGAATTCAGCCCTGCCAAAAAGGCCAACTTATAAGAAAGTGTACCATCACCCCCATGATCATGGGAACTCTATGGTCATGAGGATCATCACAGCTAATCAATGGGTTGGATGGTTATGGAGGGAGAGTGGGGCACACAATTGAGTGATATGTTTGGTTGGACCTGCTCTCTCTCTGTCAACGTCCAACCCTTTGATGGGAGGGTGATGACTCTTATGACTTATCATTGCCATGAGCATATGAATCAAAATCAATGCTTTCTCTACTTTGTAATGTACTTGATATGTATATATTATTATAATATTTTTGATAAGTATATATAATCACATAAATGCATATGTGTTGGTATTAGACTTCTAAATAAATTTTCTTTATCAATTGTAATGTGATATCACTTGGTACAATTTTTTCCGTTTTTGATGGTTATATGACCTGCACATATTTTATATGAGTTTGATTCAAGGTTTGAGTTTTGTTTCCTTGCTTTTGGCAAAATGAAAAGAAAAAGAATCTTCGTTCTAGATAACTCAATGTTCCATTTTTTATCCTTATTCGTTATTGCAGGGGACTCATTAGTGGTAGCCTGTATGGAATATCCTAGACAGGTTTTGCATTGTTGGTTGTTAGGCCTCCTTGCATCTTTCCCCAGAGTTCTGGCTTGGGGAAAGGATGGGCATTATGCTACTTGTAAAATAGCAGAGGTATGCTCATTGATGTGAAATCATACTTTATTATTGTTATTGATTGCATGAGTATGGTGTTCTTGCATTATGAGTATCTGTTTGTTTTTCTTTCCAAATGTTAAAAATTGCTGCAAGCTCAATTTTCCATTTCTTTATTGGTGTGGACTTATGTAATTTAGTAAGTTTGATATTCTAAGAGAAAAAAAATCTGATTGAAATTCTTCTCTATCAAAATGTTGATGACCTGCATGCAGCAATGCAAGCACTTGTGCTTAGATAACATTGCATTGAGAAAGTTCACAATTGTGAACTTTAAAAATTTCTGTAAAGGAAGGAGGAGTATTGGTTGCGTGCCCATTATAAGGAGTGTTTTTTTCCTTAGAATAAATATGTCTTGCTTGTTTCTAATTCCAAGTTGCATATGGCTTGTTTGAATCAAAATATCATCACAGATCATGCCAAATGTAGACTCTCTTACCTACTAATCTTGGGATGTGTAATACACCTTCTAAGGTGCTCAGACATCTGCAAAGATTGCATAATTGATTCTATGAAAAATAATGGAAGGATTATCCTATCACGCTAGGTTTTCCTTGTGGCCAATTTTGTTTCGTTTTGGAAGATAGTGATCCCTAAAAGGAAAATGAGTTTCTATTAGTGTTTTGGAGAGAAACTTGCTCATAATTGATAGGTGTGGTATTTAATAATGCTCTGACATCTGCATGCTTATGTGCACATTAGGAATTTGATTTAGTAAAAACCAATGAACTTAATACTGCTGCTTGCTGGGGAATTTCAGGGGCTTCTGGCTGAAGATGCTGCCTTAGCTGTGAAGAAACTCCTTCCTGAATATGCAAATGGTGATCTTGCTTCTCTATGTTCATGGCCTGACGAAATTCGACACTTCCATCAGTGGCGTTGGAGCAGTCCTTTGCACTACATCGATACACCTGATTTTAAGTGCAACTATGAATATTCCAGTGCGTTTTCCTTGATAATCTGATAATCTCATTTCCATCCTGTGATTGAGTCTTCATATTTCCAATCAAAAGTTGGAACACACAAAAAAAATAAAGAAAGAAATTATGATATTTGCCCTTCTGTATGCTTATCTCTAGATGAATGATTATACCATTTTAATTTTTATAGGAGATTGCCATGATTTTACTGGAAATGAAGGCAGGTGTGTTGCTGGTGCAATATACAACTATACAGCACAACTTACTACTTTTGCCGACCCTGCTTCTGAAGGAAAATGTAGAGGCTATTACCTACTGCTATTCTGATTCTTAACCTCATTGCCATAGTTTGTATGATCCAGTGAATTTTTCTTGTTATGAATAAATAAAGACATAACTGCTTTGTTTAAAACAGACAATTTGACGGAGGCTCTCTTGTTTTTATCACACTTCATGGGAGACATTCACCAGGTGCGGATGTCTTCATTTACTTCATCATTGTGGTTTATCTTGATTCTTCTCCAAAATTCTTTTGCCTTACTAAATTTTTGTTGTGGCTCACAAACCATTTTAATGGCATTAAACTGAAGATGATAGCAGAGATAATCACTCTCTGTATAACGTTAATTTAGAAGATTCGGTTCTCTTCTGATACTCTTTTAAATCTAATAGCCTCTGCATGTTGGTTTCACTGGAGATGAAGGTGGGAACACAATAATTGTGCGATGGTTCAAGAGAAAGTCTAATTTGCACCATGTAAGTACTGAAATTTTCCTTTTTTCAGCTCAATACCAAGGTTGTAGAGAAGTACAAGATGCATGAAGTTTTTCCATTTGTTCTCGTTTCTCATGTACAGATGGCATATTTCCTCTGGGCTGGACTTCTTATTTGTACATGAATTCCAGGCGCATTAACATTAATGTGCAATGCTGTATAATATAATGAATGGTGCGCAGAACCATAAGATGCAGTTCTTCTGACCTTTCCACAACCCTTGTCGTCCTTCTTTTTTCCCTGGGGCGAGGGGGAGGGTTGCGGGGAAATTATCATATTGAATGCCCCAAAACTTAGATATTTCAAAGAAAACCTTTTAATTCTTCATTTCAGGCGGCACTGTTTTTTTTCTTAAAATTTTGTGGACCCCCTTCCCACAACCATATGCTTGTAGTCAGTTTCTTTTCCTGAAATTAGCCCCTGTGAATATGCTAACTCCATGTGCGTCCTAAGCCCTAATCTGAAACTTAATTTCTCTCTCTCTCTCTCTCTCTCTCTCTCTCTCTCTCACTCAAATTTTAACGAAAAACAACTTTCCTAAAATTTTAAGTGAGTTCTAGAAAGAAAACATGAAAACAAGGGGAGCTCTTGAGAGGGGAAGGGAAGAAATTGTTACAAAATTTAGGTGGAAAAATCCTTTGAGATTTCATTGCCATTGTTATGTGATAGGTTGTTGCAGAAACAATGCAATGGCTGTTTTTGGGCTCTGGTATTCAGAGAGATCTAGTAGGGTGGTTTTCTTGGAGATGATGTTTGATGGGTTTTACTGGTTTTGGCTTGAATGAAAAATCTCTTGAATTTTGTTCAAAGGAAGTGAGCTTTGGTGAAGCTTCATTAAGTTTAGTTGCAGAGGATGCCATGTCTTATTCTGTTATTCTTTATATGATTTGCTAGAACACGCACTAATGGTTTTTGATGGATTATATTAACTGAATTGGGTGGAAATTCTGCATAATAGTTTGGAGATGAGAGGAGAGAGATGCGATGATTTGGTTGGTCTTCACAGAACTGCATTCCTCTGTTTAGGTATCAAGAAAACCACTTTTTCCTTTGAGTATCACGAAACTTCTTTCTCTTGTTGGATCTCCATAAAACTGCTTTCCTCCATTTGGGTATCTTCAAAACCTTTTCTGTTGGATCCTCAGAAAACCATTTTCCTCCATTTGGGCATCAGCAATGCAATTCATCTCTTTTTGGGTCTCCATGAAACTCGTTTTTTTGGAATGGATTTCTGCAAAATCACCACCATAAGCTAGAGGGAATGGATCTTTGGAATGGGTCTCCCTCTCCAGGGTGGGTGGAAACGAAAGGACTTTCTCTTGTAACCGTTTATTTTCTTTGTTTTGATGAGTTTGAAGCTCTGATGCTTGGGCGATTTGTAGGGAGAGGGTGAGAGAATGAGAGGGAGAAAGATGGAAAGGGAGGGTTCTAAAGAGAGTGCACCTGCGAGAGAATCCGAGGTTCACGAGTTAGGACATGGATGGGATTAGCATATTTACATTGACAAATTTTGGTAGAGAAAAATAAGTAAAGGCATATGCTTGTATTGAAAGGGGTCCATGAAATTTTAAGAGAAAATACAATGCCACCTGAAAAGAAAAAAAATTGGGAGGGTTTATCTGAAATATGGAATTTTGGGGAGGGTACACTATGATAATTTCCCTTACTTACTTCCTCCCTCCTCCTCTCTCTCTCTCTCTCTCTCTCTCTCTCTCTCTTCTCTCTCTTCTTCTCTTTGTAGTAACACTATTTTATTTTACTTACTTCCTCTACCTCTCTCTCTCTTCTCTCTCTCTCTCTCTCTCTCTCTCTCTCTCTAGCGTCCACCATTCAGTCATTCACGAAGTAGGAGCTCTTCAATCATTCAGGGGGAGCCTTTGCCAACGGTTCGATCATTAGAACTACATGAAAAACTTACTGTCATTGTCATTAGACTTGTCAGTATCATTTATACTTGGCGCAGACATAGCAGCTTGGAGCTAGGGTTTAGCAAAGAAGAAGATAGAGAAGATCCAAAATTAGAGAAAGATTAAAAACTAGAGAGAAAAAAAGGATCACTTATTGTTCTAGGGTTTTTAATAGAGTCCATAACAAGATGCTTCATTATGCTTTAGTACATCTCTTATATAAGAAGGGTGAATAAAATCCATAACAAGATGCTTCAAAGTTTTATGTAGAATAAAGTCCATAACAAGCTGCTTCATTATGGTTTATTATGCCTTAGTACATCTCTCGGCTAAGAAGAGTGAGGACCTTAAACTTTTCCTTAGCCCGTCTAAAGCCTGGGTAAAGGAGGTGGGTTGTGTTACGTAGGCAACCATTGTAAAATTTTGCCAAAATTTTCCATGAATCAGGAATCTATGTTACATTAGGGATCAACGTTGAGCCCATAAGTCTTTATCTTAATTATAGATGACGTAACTAGGCACTTACAAGATGAGGTATTGTGGTGTATGTTATTCCCGGACGACATAGTTTTGATCGATGAGTCCTGAGTATCAACACATAGTTTGAACTTTGGAGGGATGCTCTAGAATCTAAAGGTTCTAAAATTAGTCGGACTAAGATATAGTATATGGAATGCAAATTTAGTAATAATAGGAATAGAGACGAGTAAGTAGTTAAGATTGACGGTCAAGAAATACCAAAAGAGCGCACTTTTGATATTGATAATCAAGAAAAATGGAGAGAGTGAGAAAGATGTCGCATGTACATTTAGAGCTGAGTGGACGAAGTGGAGATGTGCAATTGGAGTTTTATGTGATCCCTTATCAATAGTGCTTAAGGGGAAGTTCTTTGTCTTATGGGGTGGAATATTAGGTGGTCAAGAAACAACATAATCATAGGATGAGTGTAGTTGAGATGAGGATGTTGAGATAAATGAGTAGCAAGACAAGAAGGAATAGAATTAGAAATGAATACATTCGAGAGAACTTAGGTGTATTTTTAATAGGCGATAGCATGTGAGAAAATTGACTTATAGGAGGGTTGGCCATATGCAGTGTAGATCCAGTATAGCAGCTGTTAGGAGATGTGAGTTAGTTAAAGTGGAAGGCTAAAAAAGGGCAAGGGCTAGGACGAAAAGGACATGGTTGAAAATAATGAGAAAAGATATGGGACTTATGGCTTCACTGAATGTATTAATAGAGCAAAATAACGTACTGGGATTCGTGTAGTGGACCTCAAATAGTTGGAAAAAGGCTCTGATGATGATGACATCTCTTGTATAAGAAAACCCTAAATATGACTTCATCCTGGCATCCAATTAATTTGATCATGGCCATTTATTATAAAAGAATTCAAATGAATAAAAAGACCTAAAAGACTCTAGCAATTGCTACTTATGCCCTTGAGTGAATAAAATGACTCAAGAAATAAATAAAAGACATAAAAGGATAGATTCAATGACTAGTTTTCCATTATGCGGTTCCTCTTGTAAACTTTAAGCTCATCTCTCTTATCTATATACTCGAGAGCAGTCAGTCCCCCCTTCCTCAATAGAATAGGCCCTCGGATTCGTCGGCTAGTTGTCAAGGTATCACCATGTTATGGAATGAGATGCTTGACATTAAAAACATAAAAAATGCGAATATAGCTGGAAAGGTTCAGTTTGTAGGCATTTTCATTTTTCTGCTGCACTAATTCACACGATCCAACCTTGCGTTGGCTCAACTTATGATATTCAGAACAATGGTTTAGAACTATGAATAAGCATCGGAAAGAAGAGTCTTGAATCACTTCTAAGGTCTTTGGAGATATCCATTCAAAATAACTTTCGAGGAAATCTCACCTCTATGACTTGTAAGATTGAGCATTGAATCCGCCAAAAGGAGATTGCCAATCTTGCAATGAATTGATGAGAGTGCCATGTCAGTGCAAAGATTACAGCCAAAACCACGTTTCACAGCTTTAGCATAAGCATTCTTAAATGCTTCCATACTCTCTAATCGTCCACTACACCATTTTGGTGTAACAGTACCAGCAAGGGTATTTTGAGATGATGAAAACCCATAAATTTTCATCTCATGGAACATTGTAAATCAACCTTAACATTATACAATTCAAAATAACTACAGATCAATGTTTCCCAGGTTATGGTGCCTCTCATATACATCTTATTGATCATGTATTGTGCAATTGGAAACTAACACTGCCGCAAAGCATGTATGCAACACTATTGACCATAAACATACCTGAGGAAAACTCTGCTCTTGGAATGCAAGAAAACATTTGAACTCTGAGGTTGCTCTTGCTGAATTTTGTAAGGTCAAGATGCAAATATTAGGATCCTTGGGTTTAGGTTTTGGGGGAAGATGATAAGGAATAGATTTGGTTCTTCCATCAAAGCAGAGCAACAGCTCAGCCTGAGTTCTCTCATAGAGAATCACTTTAGCAACCTTTTGGAGAGAATCTTCGATATTAAACTCACCAGTTGAAAGCTCAGGAGAAAATACCTTGAACTCTTTGGTGTGAATCTTACTTGATACCCTAAATTCAGGTAAGACTTGAAGAAACACATCATCATCATTACCTCTGTCAACACCATTCTCCACGCTACTTTTTTTGGGGATTAATAAACCAGTTACCTCCCATATTTTGGGAATAACTCTTTGATATCCGCCCTGTTCTTCATTAAAAATAGTAGCATCCACAAAATCCTCGGGATCTTCTTCTTGATCCTCTTATGGATTGGATCACCATTAAAGCTATGATCACTCACTTCTTTTGCAGCACCCAAATCTTCATCCCAGTACTTGTCAAAGACTGGTGGTGAGTCCCAGTCCACGACATGCTGGTCTTAAGAACTATTTGATGAGAATAAAGTTTCTTCATGCTTGTCATGAGATGGACTTCCATAACACCCTGGGATGTCAACCTTGAGACCGGTTTCCCACCTCCTACTATCCTTATCCATATGATAAACTACGTCTCTCCTTGGAGCTTGATCATGGAAGGGATTTATGGATTCCTCATCTACCTCGATCTCATCCTCTTGAGAAAGGGCTTCCATCTGCACCAAACGCAGAGCTTCGACCAATCTCCTCAGATTTGCAATATCTTATTGTGAACTAGCATCAAAGGCTTCTACTGTTGTTGGTTTTCATCATCTTCCTCTTCGCAGAGGCATGGTTGTTGATCTAGGGAACACAAATCAATGCTAAAGTATTGTTCGTACAGTGTTACAATACTGTTGGTGTAGTGCTACAATATTATCCGTACTGTGCTACTATATCATGCATACTACAGTACCGTACAAATCATCGGGATCTGATACCAACCTGACGTAGACCTAGTAGCTTAGATCTAGGGTTTAGCAAAGAAGAAGATAGGGAAGATCCAAAATCAGAGAAAGATTAAAAAACTGGAGATAAAAGAAGGAGTATTTGTTGTTTAAAGGTTTTGAATAAAGTCTATAACAAGATGCTTCATTATACTTGAGCTCTTATAAAAGAAACCCTAAACAAGACTTCATCGTGGTCACCCTACTACTCTAATCATGGCCATTTATTATAAAAGACTTTAAGTGAATAAAAAGACATAAAAGACTATAGAAATCACTACTTATGCCCTAAAGTGAATAGAACGGCTCAAGAAATAAATAAATGGCATAAAAAGGCAGATTCAAGAACTAGTTTGCCCTTTTGTGGTTGCTCTTGTAAACTTTACACTCGTCTCTCTTATCTAGATACTTGAGAGCATTATTCTGAGCTGCATCAGTTCATTTTAATTTGCCTCAAATTCGTGATGGATTAGTGAACTTTAGCATATATAAATTCGTCAGCAAATTGTAGATAATCAGATTGGGAGGGAAAGACTGATGCCCAGACATAACATAACATTATTTAATTATGGAAAAAAGTGATAACTAGAGTCTATATTTTGATGTTTGAGACAATCTAAGATATGGTATCCTAACCTTTTAAGTTTGTTAATCCGTCATTAAAAAAAAAAAGAAAAGAAGTAAAACTGGCAATCTTATATAAAAATTTAGTAATAGAAAAACCCATAAATATGTTAAAATTATTGAAAATTATTGACTCTAACAATGGCCATCTTAATGCATGGGCCAGATTTTGTCTGTTTAAAGCTGAACTACGAATACATGAATAATCTGCTCGCAAAAAGACTTAATTATTGCACACTGTTCAATTCATTTTGTATGTGCTGTGACTTCGCAGTTAGAGACTCTTTTAGTGGCTGGATCTTTTGCTTTTGCAATTCCCATTTAATCTTATGCAAGCGAGATATGTTTTAATTCTTCCCCCCCCCCTATGTTCAGATATGGGATAACATGATCATTGAAACTGCTATCAAGGACTATTATGATTCAGACCTTTTACTTATGATTCAAAGCATGGAAAGGAATATTACAGTATGTCTTCTATCCTTTTACTTGTCGGATTTAAAACTGTGGAAAATCAGAAATACGCAGTTAGCACATTCATTTAGTTTGACATTGTCTTCAGTCTTTTGCTTTTTGCTGTTCTCTTTTTGTTTTAGTAGGTAGTGTAGATTGAGATTGTTAATTTGAAACTGTTCACCTTACATGGAAATATACTTTTTAATCACTGAGAGAACTTCAATCTAGTTGATTTGAGCATGTTCATGGGATGTATGGAATTTATGAAACATGCTTCATATTATAGCATATTTTGCTTGAACTTGTGATGCAGCTCTGCACTGGTTAAATAAGAAATAAGATATCGAAGCTCAACTTCGTCCTGAATTCTCTACACAGACCCCTAGTTATAATAGAAGATGTTACTTAGAGCCCAAGAAATCCTAATTTTAATTGAAATAGAAGCCCTAGTTAAACTGAAATTCGTAATGGCATTTTTATTCCATGATAAAACAAAACATTTCTTAAGCATTCTAACTACTTAAACAACTTCCTAATTTCTACAAATATAAAGAGAATCTACAAATATAAAGAGAACCTTAGAATCCCTAAAAAACTTAAAACCCCCAAAAATCCTAAGATTAAAATAAAAATATACATCATTTGAAATTAACGAAAAATTAAAATAATAATAACTTTGTCGTGCATCAGACTCCCTTGGTTGGAGAAAACTCGTCCTTGAGTTTTGAAGTTGGCTAAGATGAGTTCAGCATCAAAATCTTCAACCTTCTTCTTTTTTGTTGGCTCAAATGTTATTTGTGGTGGTAAGAAATCCTCAAGAAATGGATTCTAATATGTATATTAAGGTGACACAAATTTATCAAATTTGACTATCCTTGACCTCGCATTAAAAATTGTGTCGAAACTTCAAACTGAGTTTTCCATCCTTTAGACTCTTTCTCAACATCTATTTCATTACTCTCTGAACCTAGGGCTATAATTTGTGGTTTTTGAGTTGACCATACTTTCGTTGTGATAGTTTGATTCCAATGCTATAAATCTCTTGATTGCTCCACCTCTTCGGTATCCTTGAGATAGTCAATGGCCTTGATTTTGATCAGTCCCCCTCTGCAATTCTCTTCATATTCTTCACGAGCAAGATGCCTTATGAAATATCTTTAGCTTCATTTGGAACCTTTTCATAGACCAGATCTCCTAAGAGATCTTGTTGTTGTGGATACCCTCAATCTACAACCTGCTGATTTTGGAAACAACTTGATGAAAATAAAGATTTTCCATGATATGCCTCCTCAATATCACAAACCAAATTGTACTTATAAGCAGCAGAATTACCGTTTCCATGGTTATGAGTCAAAATATGCTCGTCAAAATCATGAATGTTCGCTTCAAATCGAAAACCCTATAGTAATGTTCCCCAAGCCTGGCTCTTCTATCGCTCTCCTCTTCACTCAGCTCCTCACGTCGAGCATGGCGGTAAATATGATTGTATTGACATCTTCTTGGATGGAAAGATCACCATCTTGCTTGCATGTTGTTGTGTAAGCTACTAGACTTTCCTCATGAAATCTTCAAGCTCTTGATATCTGACATCACTGGGTAGGTCTACAAGAGCTCCCCTTCCATGATCCTTCTTGTTGCTATAAATTCACCGAAATCACAAACCCTAGGCAGAAAATCAGCAAATTCTTGCTGAAATTAGCAAGTTCTAGGCTGAAATTAGTAAACTCTGGGCTGAAATCACCATATTATTGTTTGGAGTCAGCAAACCCTTGCCTAAATTCAGCAAATCCTAGGCTTAATCAAAGATTCCCGCCCTTGCTAACCATGAGTCCTTGGCATTAGATAATTAAAAAAGGAAAATTGTTTCATGCGGGCTGGACCGCATGATTACATATGCGGTCCAAAAAGTGTAAGTAGGTATTCCATCTAAAACTAATGGAAACTAACGGTCCAAATGTTTTCTTACTAGAATTATTATTTCTAGTTTTTAAAATTTATTTATTTATCCATATTCATGATCTCCATGTTAGAGATTACATGTCCTTAAAAATTAAGTCCAAAAATCCATCTAAAAAATATATTTATTAAGAGGCCCACATTTCTACATATGCGGGCTTGACCGCATAGAAACCAAGTCCATTAAAAAATCTATTGATTGGAGAATCAAAGATGAAACTTACAAGCTAGGCTTCAATGGCTCTGCACTTTATTAAACCAAAATAAGATATCCAAACTCAACTCTTTATCTCAAATTCTCTACGTAGACCCTTATTTATAATAAAAGACCTTACTAGAGCCCAATAAATCCTAATTATAATTGAAATAGAGATCCTAATTCAAACAAAATTCATAATGATATTTTTACTCTTTAAAACAAAATATTCTATAAGCACTCTAACTACTTTTCTAAGCTGCTCCTAAATTCCTAACAATATATTAAAAAAATTCTAGAATCCCTAAAACAACTTAAACCCTAAAATTAAATCTTAGAACTAAAATTAAAATATAAATCGTTTGATGTTATATAAAAATTAAAATAAGAATAGTTTCGTCATGCATCAACTTGCTGTTGAATAGAATATATGGTTCCATTCACAGTTACTGGAATCTCTCACCCACTGTCACGATTCTGATTTGGAATTCTTGATTATGCGATTTTGGCAAGGAATCTTCACGGAATCCATTTTCGTGAAGTCAGGAATCTCGATTCCTTACTTTAATAATCTTGATTCCAACATTATTATATTGTTTTTAATATTTATTGATTCTCGATTCCGCAATTGTTGAACTAGACTCCATATATAATGACAATCCTCAGTCAAACTAGAAACACAAACATAGGGCCATGAACTACAAAATAAATAATTCAGAACCTATAAGAACCATCAAATTAGAAACTCGATTCCAAAGATATAGAAATCTCGATTCCATATATATGAAAGAATCTTGATTCCATACGGTATGGTTCCAAATAGGTTAGAAACTCGATTCCAAAGAGGAAAAAATTAAAGGAATGACTGTAGAATTCCAGACTATAAATTAAAGAAGTTTCTTTCTTTTATTTTATTAATTGATGGAAATTTTACTTACAGATGCCACATTCCAAAAATAGAGCTACTACAATCTAGGATCTTTAAACCTTACTGCCAAAATAAATTTTATTGAAACTGAATACAAACTAACAACCTTAGGAATAAAATAATATAAAAACGACATAAAATAAAATTAAATAACTCAGGGAAGACTTACTGAGTTTTTGCATAGGGTTACTCCCTTAAGGCTTAGCACAACCACATTCAATCACTTGACTAATGCCGCACTTAATTATGGAGACTCCTGAAACCACCAATCTAAAATTGGGAAGCTCCTCTAAACCACCATTGTCTAAAGTTTATTGTGTAGAGAGCAAAGGGGTCACAATTAGGGTTTCACAAAAGCCCTTTTTCAACCTCGAGGAATATCAAAATATGGCACCTCCTGAAGCCTTATCCTAGGGCTGGGTGTGCCCCTTTCTTCTATCTCTTCTTGGTAGATGCATGCCACCCCAACACTTGGGGTTGGTGTGCCACCTTAGAAGGAGAGGAAGATAAAAAGAAGCTTAGAGAGAGAGAGAGAGGTGAGGCATGGAGGAGAGAGAGGGATCTCAGATGTGGAGAAGGTGCTCGGGGGGTGAGGGGTTTTTCTTTTATATGCCTCTAGTGCCCTAGAGTGATGTCATCAGATATGGATTGAATAGGTAATCTGTGGAGCGAGAAAGATAATTAATCACATGCATTCATCTCTAAGATCAGCTATCATGATCTAGAGTGAATATTTAGGAACCTTATCCCCTGAGATTTGACACATTATCCACTTCTATCTTTATCTAGGCATATGACCAATTAAAACATATCTTCTAGAACTATCTAGAATAATTTGGGATCTATAATTCCTTTTCTCTCACAAAGAGATAATTAGGAATTCGCGTAATTTAAACTTGGTCATAAGCTTGATCAAATAATAATAATATCCAATAAAAAATTTCACTATGAAAATATTTTAGGATAACTCAAAATATAATTTATTTTAAATAAAACACAATTTAAAAAAAAAGCCCCAAATAATGAGGGTTGGGGCCTATGGGGTGTGTGGCCCACGTGGGCTCCAAATGTGTGGGGGCTGGGTCCTTAGCCCCCCCATGTGTGTCCCACCTACTTAACACAATATTTCTAAAATGTCCTTTGATTTGGAAAATTTCAGAAATACCCTTTAAGGGTTTTTTATGCATTTGAAAACAGTTTTAAAAATTATGAAAAATTCCCAAAAATTATAGAAACATAATAATTGAAATCAATATTTTTGAGGTCCTTAAAAAAAAATTAAAACATCCAGAAATACTTAATAGAAGTAGATTGATACCTAAGGAGTAAAAAAAATAGTGAATGTCAAGGCACTCCACTCGTGCTAGGATCCATGATCTTCTACTGTCTTTTCAAACCAACAGAACAAGGCTCATGACCCACAGTCAAGTGGTTAAGTGCAGGGGCTCATAATTAGCCCATCAAAGCTGCCCAATAAACAATGGAACCATAGTCCTCGTAGGTTCCTCCTTTAAGAGCAAGTCCAAATGCACATATCACTATAGTGCAAGGGGGCTCTCTATGCACCTGTACATGTGTCCCTCTATACAAGTTTGCTTCTCAAGATGCGGCCATCCTATGGACATGCCATGCTGAAGTTTTGTAGAGGATTTGGCACTCCCACTCACAGGCCTATTTTTACACATAGGATACCACACAGCTCTCCTGGCCTACAAACAACGTCTTTAGGTATATCTTAGACTTCGACAAGAGATTACCCTCTATAAACCCTCAACGTTAGGGCCTATGCCCAAGAGGAAAGGGTTTTGGACATGACTTGGGCAATAAACGGCCCGGCCCTATGTTAGTTCAAACACATACACTTCGACAAGAATCTTGATTTCATGTTATATGTAGGGATTTCGAATCTATTTGGGTCAAATATGAATTCTTATAAAGTAGGAATCTCATTTTCCACAATTCCCTTTCTACGCAAGTCGATTCCTAAAACATGAATGTTCTAGACAATCGCAATTCTATGATTCTGTTTCTTAAAATGATTCAGAATCTTAGGCGTTTGCAACAACTATGGTTCTATTATTATTTTGCAGTGGCTAAATTAAGCATACACTCCATGAGTTTGAAGAGGAGGTCAAAGTCTCTGTCATCTATATTCTTATTGGTACAATTTCTGAACTAGTTACCACATGGGCATGCATGTTCACGGATCCCTGAATTCCATGGGCTATTTTATGAGTATGTGTGCGCTTTTGTGTGTATGTGTGTGTGTGTGTGTGTGTGTGTGTGTGT